ACAGTGATGCTGCGGTGTTATTTTTCCAGGGGATTTCAATAGAATATGACTCGAAGACTGTAGCAGCAGAGCCATTTGTTGCAGCAAAGTACTCCTATGGTGAAAGAAAGGTACAAATCTAGCCTTCTTCCCCTGTTATCATTTTCTTTCTGGAAGACAATTTCCGGGATGCATATGCAGAACCACATAAAAAAGAAATATATTTCTGCTACTCTCATAGCTTGCATGATTAAATTATCACAAAAGTGGACTTTTTTTAACTGACAATAAATTTAGAAAAAGTGGTTTACAACAATTGTGAAACTTGTTTGATGAATCACAGAAAGAACTATCCGATGCTATGAAGCAGAAGATAAGGGCAGAATATGAAGCACTTGGTGGCAGCCCAGATACGCCTCTCAAATCTAATTACTTTTTGAATATCATGATCTTGATCGCTGGTTTGGCATTTTTGACATCTTTAGTTATGAACTGAACATCTTATCTTCGTTTGTCTCTGCAACCAATATTAACCTTTTGATATTGGAGATGAGGGTGCTTGTTTACTAAGAATTTACCTTTGATTGTGGAAATGACTATATTAAACTGTTGAAACGTAGTTGATTCCAAACGACATTTTTTTGAAGGTGGGATGGTAAAAGACCAATCTACCCTTTTGACTCGTCAACAGCCACCTTCTAAGGGACCCTAGTTTGTCATAATTATAAATTATTTAAAACAAATTATATTAAAATGGTTATAATAATTCTAATATTTCAAAAAATTATATTAATGATGGGTGAGTCCCAATGTTTATTTGGTTTTGTAAAAAAAAATATACAAAATTTGGCCCATATAAATTTTGAACCTATGACCTACACGTTTTTAACACACTAACCAATTGAACTAATAGACTATTAATAAAATTAATCAAGATACTTTAACTAACTGAGTTAATAGGTCGACTAAAAGATTATTATAATATTATATTTTTTATGTTTCTATAAAAATATTATATAAAGCCCTTAAAAAATTATTAAAAACAATAATCATGATTTTTAGATTTGAGGTTTGTTATCATTTATTTTGATATTTTTAAAGAAATGATTATAATTGTGTTAATGATGGATGAGTCGATTTGGTCTTGTAGAAAGAATTAAGTTTACAAAATTTGGCAATGTAAGTTTCAAACCTATAACCTTTACATTATTAGTACGATACTCTAATCAACTGAACTAATAAGTCACATACAAATTTTAAATATGTGACAAAGATGCTCTAACCAATAAAGCTAATAAGTCGGTTAAAAGATTACTATAATATAGAATCTTTTATAATTTTACAAAAAAATTATATATAACCTTTAAATAAATTATTAAAATATAATAATAGTGGGTTTTAGATTTGATGTTTGTTATCATTAATTTTGATTTTTTTTAAGAAATGACTAAAATTGTATTAAAGATGGATGAGTCTCACGATATCCATTTGGTCTTGTAAAAAACAAATAGTTTATGGGATTTGGCCCATGCATGTCTCGAATATATACGATCTTCACGTTATTAGCATAACGCTCTAATCAACTGAGCTAATAAGCTACCTATAGGTCTCAAATCTGTGAACATGATGCTCTAACCAAATAAGCTAATAGGTCGATCAAAAGATTATTATGATGTCGAATCTTTTATAGTTCTAAAAAAAATTATATAAAATCCTTAAATAAATTATTAAAAATATAATAATCATGGTTTTTAGATTTGAGGTTTGCTACCATTAATTTTGATTCTTTTTTAAGAAACGACTAAAATTGTATTAATGATGTGAGTCCTACTATGTTCAATTGGTCTTGTAAAAGAAAAAATAATTTACTAGATTTGGTCCATGTAAGCCTCGAACCTACAATATTCATGTTATTAGCATGACGCTCTAATCAATTGAGCTAATAGGCCAACTATAGGTCTTAAATCTATGACGAAGATGCTCTAATCACTAAGCTAATGGGTCGACCAAAAGATTACTATGACATCGAATCTTTAATAATTTTTTTTTAAAATATATAAAATCCTTAAATAAATTATTAAAAATATAATAATCATGGTTTTTAGATTTGAGGTATGTTACCATTAATTTTGATTCATTTTTAAGAAATGACTAAAATTGTATTAATGATGGGTGAGTCATACGATGTCCATTTGGTCTTTAAAAAAAAAATTATGAGATTTGGCCCATGCAAGTCTCAAACCTGCGACCTTCGCATTATTAGCACGATGCTCTAACTAACTGAGCGAATAAGCCACTTATAAGTTTTAAATATTGTGACAAAGATGCTCTAACCGATTGAGCTAATAGGTCGGTCAAAAAATTATTATGATGTTGAATATTTTATAGTTCTATAAAATAAAATTATATAAACCCCTTAAATAAATTATTAAAAATATGATAATCATGGTTTTTAGATTTGAGATTTGTTATCATTAATTTTGATTCTTTTTTAAGAAATGATTAAAATTATATTAATGATGGGTGAGTCTCACGATATTCATTTGGTCTTGTAAAAGAAAAAAAATAATTAATAAGATTTAGCCCATGTGGGTCTCGAACTTACGACATTCGCATTATTAGCTCAACACTCCAAATAACTAAGCTAATAATAGGCCACTTATAAGTCTCAAATTTATGGCAAAGATGTTCTAACCAACTGAGCTAATAGGTCGACCAAAAGATTATTATGATATCGAATCTTTTATAGTTTTATAAAAAAATATATAAAACCCTTTAAATAAATTATTAAAAATATAATAATTATGATTTTTAGATTTAAGGTTTGTTACCATTAATTTTGATTCTTTTTTAAGAAATGACTAAAATTATATTAATGATGGGTGAGTCCCACGATGTCCATTTGGTCTTGTAAAAAAATAATTTTTGAGATTTGACTTATATAGGTCTCAAACCTTCGACTTTTGCATTATTAGCATGATGCTTTAACTAACTAAGCTAATAGGCCACCTACAAGTTTTAAATATGTGACAAATATGCTCTAACCAACTTAGTTAATAGATCGGCTAAAAGATTATTATGATATCGAATCTTTTATAGTTTTATAAAAAATTATTAAAATATAATAATCATGATTTTTAGATTTGAGGTTGTTATCATTAATTTTGATTCTTTTTAAGAAATAACTAAAATTGTATTAATGATGGGTGAGTCCTACGATATCCATTTGGTCTTGTAAAAAAAATAATTTATAGGATTTGGCTCATGCAGGTCTCAAACATGCAGCTTTCGCATTATTAGCATGACGTTCTAACTAAATGAACTAATAGGCCACCTACAAGTTTTAAATCTGTGACAAAAATGCTCTAACTAACTAAGTTAATAGGCCGGCCAAAAAATTATTATGATGTTGAATCTTTTATAGTTCTACAAAAAAAAAAATATAAACCCCTTAAATAAATTATTAAAAATATAATAATCTTGGTTTTTAGATTTGAGATTTGTTACCATTAATCTTGATTCTTTTTAAAGAAATGATTAAAATTGTATTAATGATGGGTGAGTCCCACGACGTCCATTTGATCTTGTAAAAGAAAAAATAATTAATGAGATTTGGCCCATGTAGGTCATGAACCTACGACCTTCGTGTTATTAGCTCAACACTCTAAACAACTAAGTTAATAGGCCACCTACAAGTTTCAAATTTGTGACCAAGATGTTCTAACCAAATGAGCTAATAGGTCGACCAAAAAATTACTATAATATCAAATTTTTTATAGTTTTACAAAAAAAAATTACATAAAATCCTTAAATAAATTATTAAAATATAATAATCATGGATTTTAGATTTGAGATTTGTTATCGTTAATTTTGATTCTTTTTAAGAAATGACTAAAATTGTATTAATGATAGGTGATTCCCATGGGATTTGGCCCATGCAAGTATTGAACCTATGACCTTTGAGTTATTAGCACGATGATCTAACCAACTGAACTAATAAGTCAACCAAATGATTATTATGATGTCGGGTGAGTCCCACGATATTAGCACGAACATGCGACCTTTGTATTATTAGCACAACACTCTAACCAATTGAGCTAATAGGCCACCTATATGTCTCAAATTTATGACGAAGATGTTCTAACCAACCGAGCTAATAGGTCAGCTAAAATATTATAGTTTTTATATTTGAGGTTTTATAGTTTTATAAAAAAATATATAAAACCCTTAAATAAATTATTAAAAATATAATAATCATGGTTTTCAGATTTGAGGTTTGTTACCATTAATTTTGATTCTTTTATAAAAAAGACTAAAATTTATTAATGATGGGTGAGCCCTATGATGTTCATTTGGTCTTGTAAAAGAAAAAAATAATTAATAATATTTAGCCTATGTTGGTCTTGAACTCGTGATCTTCACATTATTAACTCAACACTCTAAATAACTAAGATAATATGACACTTAGAAATCTTAAATATGTGACCTAAATACTATAACCAACTAAGCTAATAGGTCCGTCAAAAGATTACTATGATGTCGAATCTTTTATAGTTTTATAAAAAAATTATATATATCATTTAAATAAATTATTAAAAATATAATAATCATGGTTTTTAGATTTAAGATTTGTTAACATTAATTTTTATTTTTTTTAAAGAAACGATTAAAATTGTATTAATGATTGGTGAGTCCCACGATGTCTATTTAGTCTTGTAAAAGAAAAAATAATTAATAGGATTTTGCTCATGTAGATCTAGAACTTATGACCTTCACGTTATTACCTCAACATTCTAAACAACTAATCTAATAGAACACTTACGAGTCTTAAATTTGTGACCTAGATGCTCTAACCAACAGAGCTAATAGGTCTGCCAAAAGATTATTATGATGTTAAATCTTTTATAGTTCTAAAAAAAATATAAACCTTTTAAATAAATTATTAAAAATATAATAATCATGGTTTTTAGATTTGAGATTTATTATCATTAATTTTGATTTTTTTTAAATAATGTCCCGTTGGTCTTGTGAAAGAAAGAATAATTAATGAGATTTGGCTCATGTAGGTCTCAAACTTGCAACCTTCATGTTATTAGCTCAACACTCAAAGCAATTAAGCTAATATACAACTTATAATTCTCAAATTTGTGACTAAGATGCTCTAACCAAATGAGCTAATAGGTCAATAAAAAAAATATTATGATGTCGAATCTTTTATAGTTTTACAATAAAAAATTATATAAAACCTATAAATAAATTATTAAAATATAATAATTATGGTTTTTCGATTTGAGATTTGTTATCATTAATTTTGATTTTATTTAAAAAATGATAAATTGTTTGGTCTTGTAAAAAATAAATAATTCATGAGATTTAGCCCATACAGTTCTTGAACCTACAATATTTATGTTATTAGTATGATGCTCTAACCCACTAAACTAATAAGTAAATAAATCTCAAATTTTCTATGAAGATTTTGTAACCAACTTAGCTAATAGGTCGGCCAAAAGATTACTATAATGTCAATTTTTTTATAGTTTTATAAAAAAAATTATATGAAACCTTTAAATAAATTATTAAAAATATACTAATTATGGTTTTTAGATTTGAGGTTT